CCGACATCTAGTGCCACGGAACTCTCCGAGATCCCTATGTTCATTTCGATTTGTTTGTGAAAGTCGAGTTTGAAGTTTGGCCTGTCTTCTAGTTATGTGTCAGGTTACTGGATATGTTCATAAACTAGGTGAATTCCATCGATCGTCTATTTGAAATAAAAAGATTCAACATGTTTTAACATTCCAAACATTGAACGATAAATGAAATACATAAATAATTAAAAATGATATAATGAGTCGATGATTCATAAACCACAGTTACTGTTCAAATGGATGGACGGACGTTTCGGCTCCGGACGTTTCGGGCAAGAGTTTAGACCAGGGCGGACATTTCGGCTAAAGTAGAGTTCACAGTAGACTATGTATTAAATATTTCTATGAACAACTGTATATCGACATCGCGTAATAGACTGTGTATTAAATATTTCTATGAAAAACTATATGCCGACAGCACGTAATAGACTATGTATTAAATATTTCTGTAAACAACTGCATGCCGACATCACGTAATAGACTATGTGTTAAATATTTCTATGAACAACTGTATGCCGAGATCACGTAATAGACTATGTATCAAATATTCCATGAACAACTGCATGCCGAAATCACGTAATAGACTATGTATTAAATATTTCTGTAAACAACTGCATGCCGACATCACGTAATAGACTATGTATTAAATATTTCTGCAAACAACTGCATGCCGACATCACGTAATAGACTATGTATTAAATATTTCTATGAACAACTGTATGCCGGCATCACGTAATAGACTATGTATTAAATATTCCATGAACAACTGTATGCCGGCATCACGTAATAGACTATGTATTAAATATTTCTATGAACAACTGTATGCCGACATCACGTAATAGACTATGTATTAAATATTTCTATGAACAACTGTATGCCGACATCACGTAATAGACTGTGTTAAATATTTCTGTAAACATAATAAAATAAAAAGGGTATAAACATTAGACACGTAAATACTTGTATATATTTACTTGGTTTTAATGTAAGTAAAAATACAACTAAAATGCCCATGTAAAATCACTATTTTACAATTCAGAATAAACCGAATATCTTTAAACAAACCTATACTGCCAACACTCATTGTTATAAAATAACTGATATCAACACGTATAACGCTAGATGTGAATTTCACAATGAAAGCAAATCATTATGTCCTCATATGCCCATTACGTATATTGACAATACATGTGGTAAAACGTTGCTTTCTTGTATGTTACCACCACTGTTTGCTTGATCTTATTGGGAAATATTTCTGTATGGCTTTACCAATGTCGACAACATTACTTGTAAGGCTGATTTCAAATACTGAAGATAGTTTATTTTAAAGAAGAAACCCCGGGGTTGAAACTTCCGCCCTGGTCGAAACTCTTGGCCGAAACGTCCGGGCCGAAAAAAGTGCGTGAATGACGGCGTTTGATTGCATAATAAAAATAATTGAGAGCGAAACACAGCAAAAATTGAGAGTGTGATTCGAGTTATCGTAATTGTTATAATTACGACATCATATTAGAACAACGCGGTCTATTTCAAAAATCCAAATTGTGAAATATGTGGGTGGGCATTTCACAGGCACTTCAACTATTACTTAAAACATAAAAGGTACACACATGTATGCCTGACTGAAATATAGTCTGGATAATTTATAGGAAACCACAATTTATCTTGCCACTGTTTTGGCTGGCTGTTATGGTAAACTCTACACAGAGTGTTGTTCCCTGACAGCGAAGACGATACATGCGAATGTTTCAGCAATTATTTGAAAACTAATCTATGAACAGTTTATAAATTAGATTAATTAAAGTTGTCTTGTAATTTGTATATTATTTTTAGCTCCGCTGTCGACTTTGTCGAGCGGAGCTAATCATATGAGTGATTGTCCGTCGTCGTCCGTGTCAATGTTTTACTTTTTCGACTTCTTCTTTAAAACTACAAGCCTGAATGCTTTGATACTTGGTGTATATGTACCTTGGGTAGACCTCTCTTAGATTTGTTCATTTCATGATGATATCTTCAAGTCTCTAATTTTGATGAATATTTTTGTAATTTTTGGTAAAAAGTGTTATTTTCCACTTCTTGTTGAAAACCGCAAGTCTGATTGTTTTGATACTTTGTTTTGTTTTGTTCATTTTCTTACGATATCTTCTGTTCTTTAATTGAAATGTGCATTGCTAACAGCGGAGCTATCTCAGCCGAGAGGCTGCTTGTTTTATTTCTTTTGATAGCTTGGCATCCATTTGGTTCAGCTCAAGTGAAATTTTCGGCATATCCCTGGTAAGATTTTAGTGACATTGAAAACACAAGTACTCCGGCTTTTTGCACATTCTTAATATTTTATCTTTGCAGAATCCCGTGAATATTAATTTGACAACTTTGTAGAGTGGAAACAGACTGGTGAATTAGTTCATCCTAGACTTTGGTAGAACATGTTTAAAATAGTACAGTGTGAACTACAATTTCTTTCTGGCTGGTTTAAATTTATTAAGTAATATTTTTTTTCGTACTAAAAAGACTCAAATATCTTTTTTTAATTAAATCTAACAGCGAATGGGAGCACATATGCTACAACCTCTGTACTGGTTTTGTACTGGTTTGGTGATATCTGGTTTCCTTGCTGAGAATAATGCTGACCTGGATGGAGAGTCCTAT